TGGTCATCCTTTTGGTCTCGATTCAATGTGCAAAAATATCCAGATGACCTTTTGCCCGCAAACACTACCTCTTTATTGCAACCAATGGACCAGGGCGTTATCGCGACCTTTAAAGCATACTATCTGAGAAAGACTTTCAATCAAGCGATTCAAGCAACATCTGGAGAGAATTCTATGACACTAGTTCAATTTTGGAAGAAATTCAGTATTAAGGATGCTATTGATAATATCCATCAAGCATGGAATGAAATTTCAGTTAAAATTATGCAAGGTGTTTGGAAGACAGTTCTTCCACACTGTGCACAGGACGTCACAGGCTTTTCAAAAGATAAAGAAGAGGTCATTGAAGAGATTACTCGTATTGGAAAAAAACTTGGCTTCGCTGAGACTGACGATGAAAATGTGCAAGAATTGCTAGAAGCTCATTCAGAAGAAGTAACCAATAAGGATCTTATAAATTTGGACACTTAGAGATTATATGAAGACATTGATGAATGTGAAGAAATCTTACCTACCCGCCAGCATAAGAAGATTACGAAGAAGGAATTAGAAGAACTTTTCACGGTTATTGAAGAAGTTAAGCGAAAATGTTTAGAAACAGACCCTGATGAAGATAGAAGCCGTCAAATTTGCAGAAAAATTGATGAGGCAACTTCTTAATACCGCCAATTAAATGAAAAACAAAAGAATACGATGGGATAAGCCACTCTAAATAAGTTTTTCATAAAAAAATCAGATCAATAAATTTCATTTCATTTTTTTCGTATTTTCTTATATACCCACATATAGATTGATTAAAAGATACGCAAAATAGAAATTCATTGTGAATGAGAATGAAAATTGAGGTACGAATTACATGATTTCATATAAGTTATCATATTCGATTAGTGCGGCTCTTTTAAAGAACACATTAACTGCACTAATCGAGGGATTCCTGTATATATATATTCGATGCAAGTATAAGACAATGGGTCATAGTACAATAGGATATGTATATAAATAAGCATTTTTAATATTTCTTAAAATAATTGTTATACAGTCTTGACCAAAATGTTTGCATAGTGTTCTATATTGATGTTACTGTCTATATGCATGGAGTAGTTATTGGATACATGCCCGAGTAGTAACAGAAGAGGTAATGTATGATCAGACAAACATGAACGAGTTGTTATTCTGGTCTGTATAAGTTGTTTTGAGCATTTGTTCATCAACACACACACCTGTGTTGTATAAAAGGATGTGCTTTTGGTATAATCTTTTTCGAAACAGATCAATGCTTGTTCAGACAATTTCTCTGTACTTGGTGTAGAGTCATGCCTCGTCATGTGCCAGAAGTTATAGAGTATCAAATTGTTCGACTGTCCAGAAATGGTATGAAGCAAACGGACATCGCCAGTACTATAGGGTATCCCACTGTACTGTATTCAAAATCCTTAAACGTCATCAAACTAGGGAAGCCTTGTTCCAGGAAAATCTATTGGTAGACACCGAAAAACTGCTGCCCGAGATGATCGTGTTTTGATCAGGTTAACAAGTCAAGATCGAAAGAATTCTTGCAACACCTTAGACAGGAATGGCATGAACACATTCATTCCAGGCTATCCAGAGGAACGGTGAATAGGAGACTGACCAAACAAGGTTATTTTCCAAGGAGGGCTATATACAGACCGATATTAACCAGAATTTACTGCCGTCACTGTGTTACTTGGGCAAGCCACATGCCAACTTACAGTTAGGACACTGGCGACATGTCACCTTTTCAGATGAGTCCTGTTTCTGACTTGCTAAAGCTGATAGTAGGATTCATGTTCGCCGCTTGCCTGGAAAACAGATGAGGGAAGACTGTCTTTCCCACAGGAGGTGGCACAGTACATGTTTCATCATTGTGGAAAACTGCTCTTCATACCTTCCTACAGGCATCACATGGAAACGATATTTCTGCCATATGCTAAGGCAAAGTTTGGCAGTAGCTTTGTGTTCCAGTATAACAGTGCTAATGCCCGCAGTGCACGTATTGTAGAAACATAGAAATTTAGAGGACGACGTTTCGAAAGTCTTCCGCCTTTCGTCTTCAGGTTCAAGGCGGAAGACTTTCGAAACGTCG